TTTAGCTGCACTAAATTGCCAATCAGTGAGAGTTACCAGTTAGAGTACGGAGTGTAAGTCACGGGAAAAAATTCATAAGGTACGAGGAAAACACTTGACTTACGGGAGAAATGTTTCTTGTAGGGAAATAATATACTTTATGAGACTTAACCATGACTGAGTTTTCTTGCAGGATTAAAAATATCGTATATTTAGTCTCACAGTTATAATAATAAACGCGTAAGTAAGGTACAGGGAAAAGGTCACTTGATTTACGTGGGACATTTTTTTTAGACTTAGCCAAGAAAGATTTTTCTCGTAGGACTAAAAATTTATTTTTAATCTCATAGTTACAATAATAAAGAAATCAAATGTATCCATGACCTATTTAAGTCACTGGAAAAAAAGTTCTTGAAGTGCGTGGAACACTTGTTTTACGTGAGGCCTATATAGCAACCTAAATAAGAGAGAGTTTTCTCTCTAAGACTAAAAATGTATTTTTAATCTCACAGCTACAATAATAAAGAAATCCAATATATCCATGACCTATGTGAGTCACGGGAAAAAGACCACTAAGTGCGAGGGGCATTTGATCTACGCGAGGCATGTTCTTTTTTTTTTTTTTTTTTTTTTTTAATTGGACGGGAGAGTTCGTTGATGTTCAGTTCTATATTCACAATTACAAGGCAAATGAGTCCATAATGTAAGTAAGTCACTACTATAAGGAAAATAAATCCGGGACGTTTCGAGCGAGACTGGATTACTCCTTCGAAGTGTTTTTACCTGATAAGGAATCCGATCTGATTCGAAACGCCACGACGTTATTGAGTTTGTGTTTTGTTTTTCATTACTTCTCTTCATCATGAATATAGACTTGATTCTTCAGATATTCAGTAATGATAACATAATGAGTGTAATATTACGATCCACATGTCAGTAATGAAAGGCACATAAACATGTTTATTCATATGCATATAGAGCAATAATTGAGGTTTGTATCTTACACAGAAACGTTATGAATGATTTCCAAGTATTAAATAGAATGTGGGTTGCAATGCGTAGAGTTTACTGTATGATATCAAGAAATGAAATGTGGGTTTTATGCGTAGAGTTTATCACGGAATGCTACGAAATAAAAAAGTAGGTTGTATGTGTAGAGTCTATCATGCTATACTATGAAATAATATGGGGCTTGTATGCATATAGTTTATTGCGTTGTACTATGTGAGTTATATGAGTAGTCCATCACGTTATACATGTAATGTTTGATATTTTTTTACACTATAAAGTTTCACAAAAACTAGATAGTATAGTATATATCTATCTGTCTATCTATTCAACCACCTCTCTCTGTTTATCTATTAATTTCTCTCTCTCTCTCTCTCTCTCTCTTTCTGTTTATCTATCAATTTCTCTCTCTCTCTCTCTCTCTCTCTCTCTCTCTCTTTCTCTCTCTCTCTCTCTCTCTCTCCCTCTCTCTCTCTCTCTCTCTCTCTCTCTCTCTCTCTCTCTCTCTCTCTCTCTCTCTCTCTTTCTCTCTATACCCCTTCCTCCCTCCTTCCCTCCCCCTCTATCTCCACCCCCCTCTCTCCCTCCCCCATCCTATCTATCTAATCCAATCTAATCCAATCTATCTATCAGTGGACGAGTATCTGGGCAAGACGCTGTTCATCCCCGGCGTGTCGAGGAACCACAGCGGGGCCTTCCTCTGCATAGCTTCCAACGGTGTTCCTCCCTCCGTTAGTAAGAGGATCCTGCTTAATGTTAACTGTGAGTCTTCCTTTGGGATTTTTGTGATACGTGTGTGTACTTTATTATTATTATTATTATTATTAATATTATTATTATTATTGTTATTATTATCATTATCATTGTTATTATTGTTGTTGTTATTATTGTTAGTATTAGTATTAGTATTAGTATTAGTATTAGTATTATTGTTGTTATTATCAGTAGTATTAATGTTAGTATTAGTATTAGTATTAATATTATTGTTGTTATTATTAGTAGTATTAGTATTAGTATTAGTATTCGTATTAGCATTAATATTATTGTTGATATTATTATTATTATTATAGTTATTATCATTATTATCATTTTTTATCTAATTATTTATCTATCTTAAATAATGATAAAGATAATAATGATAAAAATAATAATGATAATGATAAAAGGATAATGAAAATAATCATAATTATATTATGATGATAATTATTATTATCATTATTGTTATCATTATTATTATCATTATCATTATTATTATTATTATTATCATTATTGTTATTATTATTGTTTTGTTATAGTATCATTGTTGTTATTATTATCATTATTACTATCACTTTTATGACAATATCATCATTATTACCTTTTCCATCGCTGTCATTAGTGCCGCTACGATTTCTACTAATATCCACATTATAGCAGTTTTAGCAGCAGACGCAACAGTAACGGCAGCAGTAATGATAGTAACAATGATAAGAATAATAGTTATAATGGTAACAGTCATAATAGTTGCCGTAATAGTAGTTCATAGTAGTAGTAGACCAAGTAGAAGAAGAAGAAAAAGAAGGAGGAGAGGAATGAGAGATAAAGGAGGAGGAGGAGGAGAGGGAGAAAAAGAAGAAAGAGGTGGAAGAGGAGGAGGAAGAGGAGAGGAAGAAGGGGGGGGTGGAAGAGAAAAGGAAAATAAAGGAGAAGAAGGAGAAGGAGGAGGTGGAGGAGGAGGAAGAGTAGGAGGAGGAAAAAAAGGAGAAGAAAATAGTAGAAGGAGAGAAGAAAAGGAAGAAGAAAGAGAAAGAGGAAAAGAAAGAAAAGAAAAAGAAAAAGAGAAGAAAGAAAAAAGAAAGAAAGAAAGTATAAAGAAGGAAAATAAAAATCAAAACAAGATGTATACAAAAAAAGGAGATTAAAAAGAACTCTCCAAAAAGAAAGAAGAAATAAAAATAGAAAGAAGAAAATGAAAATGATGATAAAAAAAACAAAGAGGACCTACAGAGAGAGAGAGAGAAAACAAAAAACATGATGCTTTTACATCCCGATCTCAACAGCTTCCGGTAGTCAGGAGGAAGAACCTTAGCAGCGTAATACAAGATACAATGAACCCCTGAATACCAAAAGTGAAAGTGAAAGAAATAAAGGAAGAAGAAAGAGAAAGAAAAAAAGAAGGAAAAGAAAAGGAAAAAGAGAAGAAGGAAAAAAGAAAGAAAGAAAGTATGAAGAATAAAAATCAAAATCAAAAGCAGATGATAAAAAAAACAAAAAAACAATAAGAAGACCTTGCCAAAGTCAGGAGGAAGAAGGAAGAAGGAAGGAAGCCAGGAGGAAGAAGGAAGAAGGAAGGAAGAAGTCAGGAAGAAGGAAGGAAGAAGGAAGGAAGAAGTCAGGAGGAAGAAGGAAGAAGGAAGGAAGAAGTCAGGAGGAAGAAGGAAGAAGGAAGGAAGAAGTCAGGAGGAAGAAGGAAGAAGGAAGGAAGAAGTCAGGAGGAAGAAGGAAGAAGGAAGGAAGAAGTCAGGAGGAAGAAGGAAGAAGGAAGGAAGAAGTCAGGAGGAAGAAGGAAGAAGGAAGGAAGAAGTCAGGAGGAAGAAGGAAGAAGGAAGGAAGAAGTCAGGAGGAAGAAGGAAGGAAGAAGGAAGAAGGAAGAAGGAAGGAGGAAGAAGGAAGAAGGAAGGAAGAAGAAGGAAGGAAGAAGTCAGGAGGAAGAAGGAAGGAAGAAGGAAGGAAGAAGGAAGGAAGAAGTCAGGAGGAAGAAGGAAGAAGGAAGGAAGAAGGAAGGAGGAAGGAAGAAGTCAGGAGGAAGAAGGAAGAAGGAAGGAAGAAGTCAGGAGGAAGAAGGAAGAAGGAAGGAAGAAGTCAGGAGGAAGAAGGAAGAAGGAAGGAAGAAGTCAGGAGGAAGAAGGAAGAAGGAAGGAGGAAGGAGGAAGAAGGAAGAAGGAAGGAAGAAGTCAGGAGGAAGAAGTCAGGAGGAAGAAGGAAGAAGGAAGGAAGAAGTCAGGAGGAAGAAGGAAGAAGGAAGGAAGAAGGAAGGAAGAAGGAAGGAGGAAGAAGGAAGAAGGAAGGAGGAAGAACCTTGGCAGCGTAATACAAGATGCACTGAACCCCTGACGACCAAAAGGGGTTCAAATAAGAGAGGTTCAAGGAGCCGAGGTGAGAATATTCTTGGAAAAGGAAGATAAAAAAGGAGAAGAAGAAGAAGGGAGGATTAGAAGAAAGAGAAGAAGAAGGGAGAAGAAGGGAGAATAAGAAGGAGAAGAAAGGATAAGGGAGAATAATAATAATAATAAGAAGAAAGAAGAAGGAAGAATTAGAAGAAGGAGAAGAAGAAAGAAGAAGGAAGAATTAGAAGAAGAAGAAGAAGAAAGAAGAAGGAAGAATTAGAAGAAGATGAAGCAGCTGGAAGAGGTAGAAGAAAAGAAGAAAGAAGAAGGAAGAATTAGAAGAAGATGAAGCAGCTGGAAGAGGTAGAAGAAAAGAAGAAAGAAGAAGGAAGAATTAGAAGAAGAAGAAGAAGAGAGAAAGAAGAAGGAAAAAAATAGAAGAAGAAGGAAGAATTAGAAGAAAAAGGAAAAAGGAAGAATTAGAACATGAACGAAGAAGGAAGAATTAGAAGAAAAACCAAAAAAAAAGAAGAAAGAAGAATTAGAAGAAGGAAAAAGAATCAGAAGAAAAAAGAAAAAAAAAGAAGAAAGAAGAATTAGAAGAAGGAAAAAGAATCGGAAGAAAAAAGAAAAAAAAAGAGAAGAAAGAAGAATTAGAAGAAGGAAAAAGAATCAGAAGAAAAAAGAAAAAAAAAGAGAAGAAAGAAGAATTAGAAGAAGGAAAAAGAATCAGAAGAAAAAAGAAAAAAAAGAAAGAAGAATTAGCAGAAAAAGAAGAAAAAGAAGAAAACTAGTGAAGGCAAAATGAAGCCGCTTTTGTATCCTGTGATGAAATTCCTCCACGTAATTATTTTATCGCCGAGATGGAACGCCTTCTTCTCTCCTCCTGTCCTTGAGCTTGAACCCGATCTCGAAGCTCCACGACTTGACTGCTCGAAGCTTTGTAATGAACTGCGAGATGAAGGCCAGAAATACAGCTTAATTGCCCTCTCATGAAAGGGAGACATCTGGCAACTCTTCGAACACTCCGATTCCTTAAGTTACTTTTTTATAAACGATGAAAAAATTGTTTTAAAGTGCTTGTAATGCGTTAGTAATAATGTGTGTGTATGATATATATATAATTCTAGACCTACGTTAAGTATAATTACTAAGTGTCAGCTGATTAGAAGAAGAAGAAGAAGAAGAAAAGGGAGAGAAGAAGAGGAGAAGAAAGCAAATCGGATTACTCCAGAGCCCGGGAATGAGTTGCCAGTTGTTCATTTCCTGAGATTGGACGCGCTTTAGATATTGCGGCTCGAGAATTCATGTAAAACGTTTTTTTTTTTGTTTTTGTTTCTAGGTTACGAGGTAAAACGTTGCATAGAGATAGTAGTAGTGTGAAGAGCAGTGGAGGCTGTGATAAGTAGTGAATTTGTAGATTAATAATGAATGGTCTATGATTTATTCAGTGGAGGTTGATAAGATTGGTAATGATAATAAAGATAACGAATTTGATAATAAGGCGAACAGATATTTAATAATTATGTTACGGAGGTTTATATACGTTATGGAAGTTTATATACTAATAAACTCATAAGAATGATGTTAAAAGGCAAATCATTTCGTAAGAATGATTTAAAAATAGTAGCAATAGTAGTGGTAGTAAAAATAGCAGTTGTTGCAACATCATCATTGCAATCTCTTCAATATCTACGTAACGACATATCTTATCGTAATTTCAACTTGAATTTCTTATTCATAAAATGCAACTGCCTCACAAAATTCTCGTGAAATTTCATTGCAGCTTCAGAATGTCATTATTACCATTATATCAAGATTTAAATACTGTACTCTATCTGCCTGACTCTTGAAATGAAAATGAAAATTACGAGAAAATATTGTTTTCAAGTGTTTACCTCGTAGTATATATTTTTTGTTCATAATTTGTTGTTCTTTTTTATTTACGTTTGTTTGTTATTGATGTAAACACAAACGTACATGCATGCATGATTTTATTTATACATTCATATTTGTACACATCTCTGCATCATCCATCCATCCATATATACATACATACACCGGAAGTAAAAGTTGGACCCAAAAAAATTCGAGATTTCTTGAGACCTTGACTTTGTGAATTTAAGATCCAAAACTCGGGCCGGAAGGACAAGAACCAACAAACGCACACACGCATAAACATACAGACACACACACACACAAATGCACATAGACACTACACACACACAAATGCACACACACACACACACACACACACACACACACACACACACACACACACACACACACACACACACACACACACACACACACACACACACACACACACGCATCCATCCATCCTTCCATTTATATATATATATATACATATATATATATATATAATATATATATATATATATATATATATATATATATATATATATATATATATGTATACACACACATACACACACACACACACACACACACACACACACACACACACACACACACACATATATATATATATATATATATATATATATATATATATATATGTGTGTGTATGTGTGTGTGTGTGTGTGTGTGTGTGTGTGTGTGTGTGTGTGTGTGTGTGTACACATACACATACACATATGCAGTACATACAGTGTGTGTTTTAATATCTATGACTACTGTTGCTGCGATGTCTGACCTCGCCCATTCCCACTCCCGCCCGCAGTTCCGCCGAAGATCCTGGACGAGCACGCAAGTGGGCGTGTGGGCGCCGCGCTGCTGGGCGTAGCGACCATGACCTGCAAGTTCCAAGCGCAGCCACTGACGGCTGTCCGCTGGTTCAAGGGCCCGAGGGAGGTCAAAGGTCAGAGTGCCTCCGCCGTCGTGGAGACGAGCAAGGGCCAGGTGAGAGGGGAGGGGGGGAGAGGGAGAGAGGGGAGGGAGGGGAGGAGAGGGGGAGGGGGTGAGGGAGAGGAAGGGGGAGAGAGGCGAGAGAGGGGAGAGAGAGGGGAGAGAGAGGGAGAGAGAGAGGGGAGGGAGGGGAGGGGAGAGAGGGGAGGAGAAGGGAGGGGGGAGAGAGAAGGAGAGAGAGGAGGGAGAGAGAGGGGAGAGAGTGGGAGGGAGGGAGAAAGAGAGGGGGAGGGGGGGGGGAGAAGAGGAGATAAGGGACGCTGGAGGGTGTGCTTTGTAAAAGTGTACATTTATATCTGTGTATATGTACAAGTGTGTGTGTGTGGTGGGGGAGGGTTGTCTGGCAGGTATGTTTATTTATAGGTAAAGGACAATGTCTAGCGTTTTATTTTTTTACGAGAAAATGGGACTTATAATATAACTGAACCAAATATCACCATTCTATTGAATTGACTTCTCGATATGAAAAATGTCATAATAAATCTTAAATGCAATTTGAAAAGAATATATGTATCTAAAGTTTATGCTTGAAGAATAG